ATTTGCAATTGCAAAGTAAATTTCAACTGTCAGTGATTTTAACGGGTTTTTGATATTAAATTGAACTTAAACGCTAATAAGAATACATTTTAAATATTTAATTAATAACCTAAAAAACGCCAGAATATTTTTAAAATTGCACTGCGTCTATACAAAACAATGTTAATAAACTTTTCTTCGGTGAAAATAGCGTAAGTCTTTACAAGTATTTTTCACTGCAGGTTACTGCACAATAAAACAAAATCGAAAAAATGTACGAAATTCGTGTATTATAGCGTGTATATATGTCATTTTTTTACCAGTTTGTACCCCTCCGGTTTCCCTCCATTATTCAGCAAAAAGTCAAGGAATGTCGAAAAAACGCAACTTCATTCAAAATACTACAAGAAAAAGAGTTCCGACAAAACATTTTTGATCGGAACGATATGTCCGGTCGAAAAATTGTTAAATGCAGAAAAAATACATAAAAACTTACACACACACATCACAATAAAGTAAAACCAATACTCAAAAAGTAAAATATATCACAAACCACCTAAATAACATTATTATATTATTTTCCTTGCGTTCCTTAAACGGTACCTGCAATAGGCACAGGAGGGCTGCCTCTTTTTTTTTTTCTTTTTTTTTTTGAATTGACTTCCTATATATCGGAATCCCTAGGTCTGTAGTATAGTGATAATATAATAATATGGTTTTTTCATTCGTATATCCTGTAAACCACCACCGCCGTTGTGGGTGTTCGGGTGACACGGCGGACGACGACCATTGTATATATACGTGTACCTATATGGACGGACGGATAAAAAAAAAATATATATATATATAAAGAACTACAAGATTATAAAGAAAGAAAAATATTGTATTATACGCATGTTTTTTTTTTTATTATTATATTTTTTTAAAAAAAAGTGGCATGTGGTTTATTTTTTTGTTTAACACGTCAACCGAGCACATTATAAGCGCATTGGCGTGCACAATACAAAGGCTACTTACGTTCCAGCTCTCGCGGCGGGCTTATATTATTTTTTTGTTCACCGTTTTTTTTTCTCCCCGTAAACCCATAAATTCATCAACTTGACACGACCGAACGCGTTCGCCAACAACAATCGAGTGCGTACTGTTGTTTCGGTGAAAAAAACGATGACCGCGGCGGCGGCGTGCAAAGGACGGGCCTATATACTAATATCGTACTGAATAAACGAGCCGTTACGGCCGAATCGATTATAATATTATTACACTCTTGGCTGAAAACAATACTAGTAATATTATGAAATCGACGACGACCGGAGAGCAAACAGGAAAAATAACCGCTTAACAACACGTCAAAATATGCCGTCTGTCACGGGGTGCGGGGTGGTATTTAAAACAATATATGTTGGTACGAGCAACGATAACTCGACAAGGATACACGCGTGTTAACAAGTTTTTAAAAAAAAATAATAATAACAACAACAACCAATACATTACACGCGAGTATAATACGGAAACAATAGGGATTCCGGTACGGGAAAACCGTTGTCGTGCGCACCTGTTGCATTAGGGGTGAACTAAACCCCCCCTCCACGCACACGAACGTCCGGAATTCGTCATCTGACATCTTGTTCCATCGATTCGTCGACGCGACAGGCCGTTTTTTCCCTACAGCGTGAATCGCTTCTCCTTCATCTGGCAAAGAAACAAAAAAAAAATTCCACTAGTGTGCAAAAAACTTTGGTCTTTTATCGGCTTAATAGTGTACATTATAATCAACCGTTTGTATAGAATTAGTGCAAAAACAAGACGGCTCCGGTTTCTCCGAATTTCGTGTTTAGATTAATTAGTGGTGTCTACAGAGGATTATTCACGTGTTTTCTGTGCAACTATGGTGACGAAACCAGTACACAAACATCCGTCAAACAAATTCATTGGTTGAAAAATAAAACATTTCCATTGTGTTAAAACAAAACAATAATAATAATAAACACCCGTGAACAGCATAGTTCCGGCACTAGATTAAGAAAACTACGCGAAAAATAAAACTACCGATATTCAATGCACCAATTAGATCTAAAATGCATCGAAAAAAGTTTCTTTTGTAATCTGATAAAAATAATTGCATAAATAATAATCGAATTATATAGAGCGCATTTAATAAGTACAGTTTAATGGGTACATCGTTGAAAAAAAAAAAACAATTCTACATTTTATTATAGTAATAAATTCGCGGTTGTCAGGGAAACTTTTAACGATTTGTTCGCATTTCAGTTTTTGCGAACTTAAACATGATAAATACGTTATTTTATTTCTATTTTGTTCGTCCGTATACACTGTATAATGCCTAGATTAAAATGGAAAGTATTCAGACAAAACCGAACGGAAACCGGAAATACGGTCGGTCGGCATGTCTTCGGGGATAACAGTATAAACCACTTTGCGACGTTATATGCATTAAACTATACCTATCCTATCGAACGCCGGAGATTTTGGAAAAAGGTTCAGTGGCGGTTGGTCGCGGACTCGATTAACGTGCTACTAAGACGAAATTCCACGACGCAAACGTGGCGTATTTGTTTTATGTGCGTGTTTCGCGAGATCGCGGAAAAAAGGAAAATACTTCGTGGTAAGTTAAAACACGGAATTAATGTAAACGTTGTCTCGCTATTTAAAATTACAGAGTCATTATTTGAATAAAACCTACTGTGTGATTATTTTCTAAAACGTGTCTTGCAAAATTAGAATTAGGAAAAGTTTATTTTCATTTTATTTCAGAGATATTCTCTTCGTGCCTAGTTTTAACATCCCTAATAATTTTACCAATATCAAATTTATTACATTTACATTTAAATACACATTCCAGCATTATCAAAAGTTATAATGAGACAATTGCGTTAAATATTTAGAATTATAATTTATTCGTTTCATTAACTAGTCATGAAAGCACCAGTATTGTTCAGCATTTTTGCGAATTGATTAGAATTGTGATTATGATATTTTTAATGGTGTATAAACCAATATCGTAAATCTAACGATAGTGAGGAAATCTGTGTATCGATTTTTTTTTTCCAAAACCGATTTGGACCCGATATTTTTGAAACAATTATTTTTTTTTTTTTTTTGAAAAAAAATCTATTTTTATAAACTCTAATTTTGGTAATAATAATACTAATATAAATAAAAAGAGCCTGTTGTTGGTGAGAGGTTTGAAAGATAGGATGGAGAGGGGAAATTAATTTGTATCTGTAAGCAATGATAAACAATTGCTTACTAAAAGTATTCAAATAAACAAAAAAATAAAAAAAAAATAAATATCTTTGTAAAACTAATACATTCTTCGCTATACACGCAGAATCTAAAATAATATCGGGTATCGGGTTTTTCATAAATCTCAATATCGGTTCAAGATTTTTTTATTTCAAATATTGGATCGGTTATCGGTTTTATATCGGACATTGGTAGCAAAATGTATTTGAATATCAGATATCGGAAAAAAGTAATATCGACCCACCACTATAGATATTTCAGGCTGCAGTATTTAACAACAATTATTTATAGCAGTATTTTACATATTTTATTCGCTTTGTTTCGTTGTTTCGGTATAAGACTATAATAATTTGTTGATAATTTTATCAGTTTTTTATAATTTTGTGTAATTATGATGTACAAATATACTTTCACATACTATTATTTCTATATTTTTTGAAAACTGTAACTACTGTTCTTATTTTTACCTTTTGTACGTTGGTTATCATGTTTTTCTTAAATTATATCGTATGACTGTATGGTTTAAAACAAATCTCTATATCCGTCATCATCTTGACGACTTCACCTCCACATCATGCGATTCATTTTATTAGACTGTGTGGCTATATATTATACCTTGCCCAATACGGGGTATTCGATAACACGCAGTTAGGGATCAAGGTTTCCGAAAAAATTAATTTGAGCAAAAGTTGTATACAAAACATCAGAAAATATAAATAAAACATTACTTATAATGTAAATGAAGTTTGTACATAAATCCGAGCTTAAATATGGTAGTGATGGTACATCATTATCGACTCTATAACAAACTTCCATATCCCTGGCTTCGTTGGTGGGGGAGAAAGGAATATCTGTAGGGTTCTTCAAAGTATAAAAACCACTCTGTTCCCGCAAAAACATGATGGTGAAATTAATATTGAAACTGAACTCGACTTTTATCACTTCGATTGTCCTATAGAATAACTCCCGAACTAAAGCTCATAATAATGGACGAATGGCGCCACTAAATGTGTACAAAAAAAATCAGAATATATTTACCCATTTATTTATATTACATTTAATTATATCTTTGTGATCAACGTAATGTCATCTCTTTATCTCGAAAAGTAACAACTTTTTTCGCAATTCGATTACTAGAACATTTAAGAAATTAACAGCTTTAAAATGTTACATTACTTTTTTTATTCACTTTTATTTTAGCGGATGAACCACTATTTACTTTTGATTTGCAAATGTCAACTACATTCAAAATTCCACTAATAAACGGAGTATTTGATTAAATTGATTTCGGTGTAAATATTTTTAATTTCCGTCAACCAGCTGATGAGATATTCCACTTAAACGGGAGAGAGTGGTGGAACATTATTAGAACGCCGCACGCCACCGTAACGCCATACAAATGATTTACCTCTACTATACGGGTTACCTTGACAATACGGACGATAATACAGTTATAATTATTTAATTTGGTTGTCTGCAGTGACAACCAAATTAAACCAAAAACAACCAAACAACTGTTTACCTCTTTTGAAACGATAGATTGCCGAGAAACGACAATCAATAATTTTGATAAGGATAAGAGCGGAAACGGGAGACATGTTTAACTGCATTAATTTCCATATAAAAAGGACAACGTGGAAAATGGTCAACTATAAAAAAAAAAAGACAGTAAATTACGTTATCAATATTAAATTTATATTTAATGATTTTATCAATATAACGATAATAGGTAAACATAATTCGTTATAAACATTAACGCGGGTGTATTTTATTCTTACACGACAATATTTTAATATAATTACAATATAATAATAATAATAACATACGAACAAATATACATATACCTAGTATTATTTTTTTAATTTATTTTTTTATTTTTTTTGCTCGGAATATTAATATAAATTATTTACAAAATATGTATAGCAAAAATATTACACAGCGTACCGGTTTTTTCCTTTTAAGAGAAAAATATCACTCTCTGCTGTTTTACCGTTTATAATAAAATAATCTAATGTATAATAATTTTGGACTCAGAATACAATGCTTATAATATAATTTATATGTACTCGTATTTACAATAATATCTTAAAATCAAACGAATTCCACGTAGGTACGCGCATTTTAAAATGCTAAAATATGTACCGAAAAATTTCAAGTTTTCGAAATAATGAATGTGTATATTCTCAGCAGTGCAATCACCGATAGTCTGACTACGACGTCTTTGCATAATAACGTATACACTTAATGCACCCTGCCGCACATGGTGTCCATTTGGGACAGTTGCCCGAAGTACGGATAACCGGACTTGGCTTCACTGGCTGAGTGCGGCGGGGCTAGATTGGAACCCGTAGAACCGTATATGGTGTTGCCTCCGGCGAAGAACCTGCGAATAAGAATAAATACCGAATTAAACGTCTGAAATCTCAAGTACGACCGGCCACGAAGCGACATGTCAATAAAAATATTTTCACTATAATATGATAATAATAACATTCAATTTTACCATCGAATGCACATCTGATATAATAATATTATAAAGACGCTGTCGACGAATGAAATAGTTTTGTTCTCGTCGCGGGAAAACGGAAAATAATATTCCGGTTTTTTTCTCCATTACACTATATATGCAGTTGGTGCTCAGATATACACGTCCTAAAAACAGTATAAAAACCGTCGAAAATCGGTGTAAAAAAAAAATTGCGAAAAAATTACCAGAATAAACCGGAATATTAAAGTAAATCAAGCTTCCAATTTTCAAACATTGGACTAATCGTTTAATGAAATTCTTAACCGTACATGATGAAAGATAAAGTGCATACGGACAATAAACAAAACGATCAACAAAATGATGTAAAACTTCGTTATCTTGGGAAATATTAAATTTTTTGGAATTTATTTTATAGAACATTTAAGACACAGTCATCTCTAAAATGTCACTATCTATTTTAAACCTATATCTACTTTTGATTTTTAAATTGCAACCTAACCTGTATTAAGAAATCTCTGATTTCCGTCAGTCCGTTGATGATATATTCCACTTTAAAGGTAAGGGGTAGGCAGGTGTGCATCATTTGTGTGGCGACATGTATAATGAATAATGACGTACTATTATAGAAAATTAATAAGTATTTTTTGAGGTAACTTGAAAACTAAATAATATGCACTTATTATTTTAGTGTTTTTGTTCATTATTTCAAAATGAACTTATATTAAAAACGATCGTGATATTATTTTTGTTTGTTCGTTATTCGACCTAACCGGTGGATCATACACTCTTGTATGGAAATCGGAAATGTGAAAAATGTTGGGCGTCCAACGTGTCCGCTTTTTCGTTTAAAAATTGATTTCGACGATCGCTACCACCCTTGTTTTCCCCTTCACAAAAAAAAAACCTCTTCTTCCAGCGCGCGTAACACGTAAAACCGTCGTCGTCGTCGTCGTCGTCATCGTGTTATGATGTATAAGGTAATGAATGCGAACCGGAGGGCTTCTGAAGAAATGTAATATTTTTTTCTTTTCCGTTATAATGAATGTATACTCGGTGGTCATTATTATTATTACGGCGTTCAGTGTATATACCTATAGACGCGCGTATAATATAGTCGATTTGTAAAAGTCACTGTTGCGCGCGCGCGTCTCTAAGCCCGCACGGACTGCATGGGTGGTAATGCGCACTGGCCGAATCTAATGACAAGTGCTTTTCAACTGACCGATCGAAACGAGGGGAAATATTATATTTATAATATTATAGTGCATTATATTATTATTAGGTATATATACCGCCGGTGCGATCGTATAAAAAAATATTATATGGGAAAAGAAGAAGAAAAAAAATAATTCATTATCTTGATTTATACGTGGCGGCGGCGGCGGTCCCGCGTATAATTTCTCCGCGTGGCAAACCATATTAATTTCTGGCGATTACTCACAAGCGGCGGCGGCGACGGCGGTCCGGACGATCCGTAAGAAGAAACAAATTACACGTAATCTAATTATGAAATTGTTTTATTAAAAATAAAACAAAACGAAATTGTCGGACGAGGACGGTAGGCTAATAATAATCGTTTCGGCCGACCGTCAGCATTTTTTTTTTTTTTTATTGTAATACGCGCCTGCAACCACGTCTCGCGTGTTTATACCACAACAAAACGTTTGTTCCGCACTATATGTTCACCATTCATGTTATAATATTATACTACTGTGTACTACCCGGACCTATCCTCACGTGGTTATAATAATGTGTACCAACAACGCGGTAACCGCGATTATATAATAATATGTGTTTAGCTAATAAACAATGCGATAAGCGTGTTTTGGCGATGCACTCTTCGATAAACGGTACACGTTGCATTACACTGTGTTGTTATTATGGCAACATCGCCAAAATCTTATTTTGTTGGCTGACCGAAAAATGCGTCCCGGAAAATCTTTGAAGGTTATTTGCCTATTAGTGTTTTTTGAAAAGCTACTGTCAAAGGAAGTATATGATAAGGGACTTAAATTTGATATTGTACCGAGCCCACGAATTGTCAAATCAAGGCCTGAATTGCGTCCCATGTATTTTTTCTGATGAATATAAATTACGTCTATTAAATGTAATGAATTATAAGTGATCACACTATGAATATTTCTTGTTATCAATAAAATATCTCCGGAAGTTAAACTTTCCATATTACCGTCGTTCAGTTCAGTATATATAATTTTAGATGGACTATTAAAAATTTGGTCTACTGTTTTTCGTTTTATAATTTGTCCATTAAGAGTTCCAACGAACAAATTACTCTTATTCAATATTATGAAACAAAATTGTGCGTTAAAAACGTTTAATTCAGTTTCATTTTTCAAAAACGTATAAAATTTAAATTTGTGGCTACCGACCACTTTTAAGATTTTATTTTGGTCACTATTCATGATGTTCATTTTAGTACACGTGGACTCAATAAAACGGCAATCGATGAACTAATAACAAAATATTAAAAATGTGGAATTTATATTCGTTTTGATGGATTTTCTGTCGGACGCAATTTACCTATTAACGCCCTCCTTATACGATGTGACTGTTTTGCAAAAAGAATTTAAACACAATTTGCCCGAACGAGATTATTGTGTGACTGGTTCATAATCGATTTATACACTCACGCCGCACATGAACTTTACTGAACGGTTTGTTCACTGAACTAGTAAACAGGTTGCTCAAAAATGCATCGCAAAAACACGTCTAATATTATCTATAACTATACTAATTATAATTTTTAATATACTATACTCACGAGTAATTGTCGGGGGTCGGGGTCCATGTGGTAGCCGGAGCGACTTCTTTGTTGGCGGACTTAGCCCATCCTTGGAGTGAGTGATGGTGATGTTGATGATCCGTTCCTCCTTGTGGCGAATACGAAGCACCGCTGCCACCACCGCCGTTGTTCTGGTGATGCGAGTGATGATGATGGTACATGGTGGTGTCGGCCGGAGCAGTGTTGACGCTACTGTTGCCACTGCCGCCACTATTTCCACCACCATAGTTGCAAGTGGCCGTGGGGTAGTATCCTGTTGTGGCCGGCCAAGTTCCGTGGGAAGTTCCTGTGTCGGAAAAAGGGGAAAAGACAATAGATTAAAGGTCGAAAATCTACACATCGTCGTCGGAAACGGGGTCACCGCGCGATACAAATGGCCGCGTGAAATCTGTGTAGAAGGGCATAGACGAGGGTCGAAAATCTATAAACAGGGGATGACCCTCTACCCTATGGGGGATCGTACGGTTATAAATGGAGCGAGAGTAATGCAATATTGGTTTTAATAATAGTTCCTGTGCAGTGAATACGCAATTTCGAACAGAAACTTGATCCAATCTAAAAACGTCACGACGTACGATTTTCGTTTTAATTAGTTTGTTCAAAGGGTGATTTTAAAAATGCCCGACAGCTTTATTGATAATGGAGAAAAACTGACAATAAAAACTATGATGGCGGCTATGCGGGTCAAAATTTAAGAAATGTTGAATATATGCAGATCGATTTTTTTTTTAAGATACTAAACAAAGCGAGGAATATTTTTGGTTTTTGTATTATGTATTTTTTTTTTTTAGTGTTGAAGTTAGTAAACAACTTTTCTATTAGAAATCTTGTTCCAATCAAAAATTGTATAGGAATTGCCTTGAAGAGTTTATTTATAAAAATACTAATTAATACTAATTATGGAATCGTTTTATATCGCGTGCCTACAGTTATCGATATTAAATTACTCAATATATCTTCCCCCTTTTCAACTCTCCTCCTAAATCAGTGGCACATCATTCACGAGCGGCGTAGATGGTTTTTGCGAACTTTAACGGCAATTAACGACGGCGGTCAATCGGATTCGCCAGCGCTCGGGAATCGTATCGAATTCCCGCCTACACGTAATATACAATACAATAAAGGTCTACGGTCACGGTGCTATAAGACTGTGGGACGTCCGGGGCATTCATATTTTGAACGTTTGGCAGTCGCCGACCACGAAGAACTCGGAACATATTATGGACATGGTATTATAAAAAAAAAAAATTCAAAGCGCAATGTATACGAGCGTATTATACAGCGCGTAATAAAATCACACGTTCGACGACGAAAAAGAGGGGAGTGAAACAAAAAAAAAAAACAAAATCGCGCACGGTCCGAGTACGTGCCCGGGCGGTTTGTATAATTTCCGGCCCCGTTCGTGTTCGCGTTCGGTCCGCGCGTCTCCCGTCGTCTTCCGTCTCACTCTCTCTCTTTCTCGATCGCCGTCTTGATCTCCGTCTATTCCGTCCAACCCGAACACGGTAATTACCGCGCGGCGGCGTACACGTCGAAATTACGGTCAAACTTCAAAGAGTATCCATTAAAACATTACCGGTGTGTATTAATAATCGTCGCGCACCGTGTAATTTCCGTGATGGCGCGCGCGCCTAGTATTATACCGCGGTATATAATATTATAATAACCGCTATCGTCGTACCATTCGGTATATTATATACAGGATATCATAAACACACGTACAGCGCAATATTGCACTTACGTGCATACATTATAATAGGGCGGTACAGGGTCGCCGAAAGAGAAAATCGCGCGGAATAATATCGAGTAATATTATTATTATTAAAATATTATAATAAACGTAGATGTCGGTTACGGTTAATATATTGAAAATTGAATAACGTCGACTTTTCGTCCGGTAGAACTGATTTCACGCCGTTAGTTTTAATATTCGTGATTCGGCCTGTTATCAAACTTAAAGGCTGCAAGGACATATTTGGCCGTGTTTGTACGTTGTTTTTGTTTTGAAATGTAATATTTCTCGTATTCGTGTCTCGCTCAAAAATCAAAATATAACTATTTAACCCAGTGTTTCCCAACAGGGGGCACGCGCCCTCTTAGAGGGGCGTATAATACACATTACTGGGGAGGCCCAAGCAGTCATCACTAAGTAAAATTTGTATATATTAAATTATTAGTATTTTACAATTTAGGGAAAAAAAATGTAATAATGACCGGAGATTGGATATCGATAAAGATTACGAGGAAAGTCGTATTTAGGTAGAGGAAACGAGGGACCGTTGATATTTTTGATAAGATTTGTTTGCTTGTCGACACCTTAATGACCTTTTCGTCATGTTTGTTAAAAGAAGAAGGGAGGGCGAGAGATTTTAAAACAGCTATAAAGGGGGGCGTAAAATAATATAGATTGGGAACCACTGCTCTAACTATATGACTAACGGCACAAAATCGATCATACTGGACGAAAATTCGACGTAATCAAATGTTCAACATTAGCCGCAATATACCTGCAGTACACAATAATAATGTATGCATTATACGGTCCGCTTACCTTGGGGCGAGTTGAAGTTCGCTGAGGCCGCGGTCGAGTGGACGTGGTGATCGTACTGTCCGTGAGCCCCGGCGTGCTGGCCCGTGCCGGACTGGAAAGAGCCGGCGGCTGCGGCGGCCGCGGACAAGCTGACCACGGCGGCCGGGTTAAAAGCGGCGGCGGCGTTCATGTGCTGGTGCGTGCCCATCTGCTTCCGCAGTCGCGCCCGGCGGTTGCTGAACCACACTTGCACACGGGCCTCGGTCAGTTTGGTCCTGCGCGAAAAACAAATAGCACACATGCGGTTAAATAATAGTTGTGTAAAAAAAAAAAGACCAATTGTCGTTTGAAATAAATAAACGAGTGAAAAAATAACAATATAAATAAATTATTAGAAAAAAAACCCGAGCCATCAGGTAATAAAACAACCAAGGCATAGAAAATATTACGATTTTTTATCCTGCAGGTAGTAAACCGATAATATCGAGAATGTAAAACGCCATGTGATGACACAGATTTAAAAAGGTTTATTATTATTTGACAATCTTATTAATCAACATCCCCATGTTCGATGGGGAGATCGAGATTTAGAAAATCAGCCCCGTCGAATCGAATGGATAATCTGGATGGATAATCCGGATCCTCAGCTGGATAGGTACATTATTTCGATGGAGGCCGAAGTGTAAAAGGATTTTTTTTATTTTGTTTACTCCGAGTACCTATTATTCGAATAAATACTTGTAAATAATTCGTTTATTATATATTATTTTCGGAATACGAGTACGTCTAAGCAAATGAATAAAAAGTCCTCGAAAAGTGGGTCAAATATTTTTATTACATCTTTCCCCCTTCCCGCTCATTTCATTAGATAAACAATTCCCATAGACCTCACAAATTCAATACTGTTTTTTCGAGTTCCGAAAATATGTGTTCGAATATAATATTTTTGTCCTAATACTTTATAACAACGCATGGTAAGTATACGATAACATTAGATTTTCTCTCGCAGAGACGGTAAACTTGTCGTAATTTTTTTTTTTTACACTACGCTTTTTTTTTCAATTAATTTCAAATACGGTTCGACAGTAGGGTTTTTATTTTTCATTTTGGCGCTGCGCTGTCAGTGATGTTCGCCTATACGTTGTAGACGAGCGTGTAGTAGACTGCAGTAATAAAAATTCTCACTTAACCATAATAGTATTAGACACATTTCTTATTATAATATATATAATTTTATAGTAATAATGTGGTTAATACTGTGTATTGGACAATAATTGTCTGTTATTAAACCGATCGACGAGCGCCCGTCACTTAATTTATAAGGACCGCAGCTATACACCTATAACTATTGCAGTGTATTATATTATCGTCTTCTCAGAATTTTAATTTCAACGCGGCATAAAAATGTGTGTATGTTACGCGGAAATAAATTACAAATTAATTTTTTAAACTACGATTCGAAATTAAAATGATAAAAAATCAAAAAAAAAAAAAAAACGGCTGTTTGTAATCATAGATTTTAAGTTCCGTTCGGCCATATCGATTTTCGTACACTTATACGATTATATTATTATTATAACGTGTTCTACATAACGGGTATTATAAATTCATGATTTAGAGAATATTCGAAACGGTTTTTTTTTTTTTCGTTAATAGACGTGTTAAATATAAAATAATATATCTAATGTGTAGTGATGGAAGACGCAGCGTCATTTTATTACGTGTTAAGTGTACCCGAGTAATTGTACCAGAGGCAATTTGCAATAATAATAATAAAAAATTTAACTCAAACAATACAGTGTGCAACGCTAAATCATTGTAAACGAATAGCGATTTTGAGCTAAGCAGTATACTATCGTTTTTCGTAAAAAAAAAGGTCCTAAAGAAGAATGAACTGTTGAAAAATTTTGATAAATATTTCAAATAAAATACCACTGGGCAGAAATTCCGCGTCTTTTAATGTACGACATGAAAAATCTAAGTAATTTTACTAATTAAATATTTCCGAGCAAGAATAAAAAAAACACGAATTTTAGTAAAACTATAGCTTCTTTGCTATATACTCAGCTATACATTTATTTTAAAATATATTTTTGGTGTTAAAAATGTTTACTAATAATGAGCCGTTTATTGTCTACAACAGTTTGAATTGTTCTCATTACCACTACTAAATAAATTTATACATTTTGAAAAAAAAAAAATTATAGCGGCAAGGCTATATTTTATAGTATGGTTATGGAAAAAAAAAGCTTATAAATATAAACTTCATTATACAATCATCATAAACTTAAGTTTACGGAATTTCGAAAAATCTTCGACTGTATGACCGAATAATACGAAACCGTAACTCTCCAGACATTTTACAAAATATTACGAAAAAAAAAACCAAACTGTGTACTACGATATACTAATATGACCCCCTCGTGCGGTTTCGCGTCCAGTTGAACCGTCAGAAATCGGTAATAAAATAAATGTGAAAAAAAAAAAATCTAATAACACGTGTAGTATTATTACGACTCGTGCGCGAGCGCGAGCGAGTGACCGTACAGGAAAACGTCCGTGCGCGCGGAATTATCAGAGGAATTGTAATTATATTATATTGTTTAATTTTCACGAAAATCCCGAAAGGACCCTACACTGCACAGTATAATATCACGCCGTGACCTTTACGACATTACAAAAATAAAATAAAATTGTATATAGTCGCCATTGGACGGGTCCGAGAATTTCCGTGTCCGAATCGGTCGATCGTGAGATAGCGACGCGTCGTCGTCGGTTCACTTTCACCGTCGGCGGGCCACCCGAAGCCGACAATTACCTCTGCACACACTGTATATTATACATTTATACGTACGTTATATTATGCGCATGTACCCCGCGAGAAACATTCAACGGGTCACGTCCTCTCTCCTCACTCGATTTTCGTTTTCCCCCCCGTGCGATGTAAGCATAATACGCGTACAGCATACGACTGTGCGAGCATAGAATATACCGTATCGTCATTGTTGCAACAATATGTGTTTTATAATCGTTGATTTTACTCACTTTTGAGCCAATTCCTCTCTGGTGTACACGTCCGGATACTGCGATTTGCGGAACGCGTGTTCCAAGTCTTCTAGCTGCTCGCCCGTGAACGTGGTCCGGCTCCGGCGCTGTTTCCGTTTCAAATGGAACCCCGGTTCCGATTCTGTGTCCGAATCGTCCGCGCTGCTCGGACCTGTATATACGTACAGAAACCGAAATTGGCCCGTTATTGTTTTGCGTGACAAAGTCGGCAAAAATATTGAAAATTTCAAGGGCAGCGCGTGATATGTTGTTTACGGGGGTATTTGTGGAGGTGGGGGGGCGGTGTAATATTATCAATAATCAACTTTGGCGTGTTTTTTTTTTTATCCGTTAACGCGTTCTCTACCTCAAATCTTACTCTAATAACAAAAACGACAAACGAATTTTTTGATTTCGTTACGGATCTATCCGGTGCGTCGGGCACATCATTTTTCGATTATACAAGAGTTTTCTTTTCTCACACGCACGCACACTATTGTTTAAGATTTTCACATGCCCATATATTTACTCGGCGGAAAAATCTCGAATACGCCACCGAACGCAGGAGTATATAATAAATATACACAAATATGTGTATACACGTAATATTGTATTTATCTCATCGGGGCATATATACATATGAATATTATAATATAAATTACCGAAGAATCCCGTAGCTGCAGTACAAAACACTCGGCGTACGAAAACGACGCATCCGTGATGTATACGATATTTTATGCCGAATAAGAGAAAAAAAAAAAAATAAAAATATTTATAATATGCAAATGAATATACGTCGCCGGCGAGTCCGATACATATTATACATACACGCGCGCTGATTGATTTCACGTCTCGCTATTTGACAGTGTTAACAAATACCGTGCGTTCAATCATATTATTATTATTATTATGAATATTCTTCGTAATGCGTTGTGTGTGCGGGTATATGCTCGTCAGCATTGATGCGTGTGTATACTGTGTATTACACACACAGGCGTACGCATTATAATATATTAATATTATACAATTTTAAAACAATTTTTCGTTTTTTTTTTTTTTTTTTGTTTTTTTTCCTAATAATAATAATAATAATAATTATTATTATTATTGTTACCGGTATACTACGCGGCCGTGTATAATACGCGCGAGAGCGTGCGGTCCACGGAAATCATTTAACCTCATCTATAACGCGCTCCGGGCGCAGCAAAACGGCGGTCGAGCGTCCGGCCGCCCGGTACCTATACGTACCCTACCGACCCACCTACCAGCTATACTGCGCGCGGTACCTAATACGCTCTTTTATAACATATATATTATACCCACCGAGGTACGTACCCGGTTTCGAGTAATTACCCAACCCCCGTACGCCCGTGTCGACGACGTTGCGCGCGCATATCAGTGATGTGAATTCCGCGCGCGTCTCCCGCAGATCATATATACCCACGACCCACCTGCATATTATTATCGTTCTTATCTATGCGTCGTCATCAGAAACGATTTACATTTAATAACCGATGTCGAGTACCTACTGCTATTCGTACTACTACTACCACTACTACCACTACTACCACTACTACTACTACTACTAATAATAATAATAATAATAATGAAAACCGACGAAAAAAACTAGAAAAATCTCGACCATCGGAATCTATCATTATAGTACGTAGTAGAGACGATACCGCCGAGTGTTGGGCGGCCCGAAATCGCCGGATGGAAATCATACATTAGGCGTGTATACGCGGTGTTTATCGCGCCTTCGATAAAACACAGGTACAGTATACACGCGAGGTGTGTATAATAACAATAATATTACGACGCAGGAAACCGCTATATATAGTCGCATGAATATGTCGTCTTCGGTGTCGGGAAAGAAATCGGTTTAAGGTCAGTTTTAAGCGTTTCTTTTTGTTTCACTGTTTTCATCTTCTTTCGCGGCTTAATAGAGGCCATTTAAGCCCATCGCCGCAACCACTACAACTCTCCGCTGCTTCTCTGTAATTAGCTTATTCTTCGTCGTTTATGACGCCTAGCATTTGGCCAGCAAATTCACACTTGACCGCATTTGGTCGTTAACTCCGCAATCTTTGTCTTAGCCGTTCTAGTGGTCTCTTTCCATTGATTATCCATGTTTTTACCGCTCTAATTGTCTGATCTCGTGCTCTCCATTTATGTACTGTCCAGCTAATACATTTACTCTTCACCGTTGCTACCGTATCCGTATTACCGAATATTTCTCCAAGCGCCAAACAGATCCGCGGTTCCCACAGGCTATCGGTAGAACGAACTTTTTTTTGTACCAAATATCTTTCGTAAGATATGCGCGAGATAGATAAGGAAAACAAATTTTGGCATAGACGCCCCATAAAATTAAAATAATTAAAAATAAACTTAACGCGGTAAAATAATTCAAAATAAACGCGTGATTTATTATAATTAAAACAAAAAAAATATTGTTAAAAGTTAAAATTAACTATTAAATTTGTATTTTTTAACTTGTCTCTTGCCCAGCCTTAGCGTTTCATATCGCAAACGTGCGTACAGATTATAATAATTATGCGACAGTGCGAAAACAGTTTATTAGCGTGGGTGCAGACTTGCGGTTGAAAAAAAAAACACTCGGAGAAAACAATATTGTTCCAAGACTATTGCTGGTACATCGTCGCGTCATCGTCGCCTACGCAGATCAATAATAATATTATAGTGGCGATATGTACCTACCTATGTAATGAAATATTAATTATTATAATAATATGAATGTTTAAATCGCAATAATTATTTTCACGAGAGCCGAGAGCGAAATTCGAGAACGATGATACGACGATGCGATTGCTTATGGAAAAAAAAAAAAACAAATCGAGAGATTAAACCAGTAACGTATATATAAGGGGATTGAGGCACACGGGCCACGGGCCATGCAGTGATGTTCAGGTTTAATTAAAACATATTTTATGCGTATTAAAGATGAGTTAAAATAGAAACTATTCCGTTACATTCTTCTGACATTCTGAAAACCAATGTTATTGAAACTTTTAAAAAATGTAAATCGATTCAAAGCGACGATAATTTTTTTCAGCGTTTTCTATCTGACTGCACTATAGTGTACACTTTTTGCTTACTTGTCACCCGCAATCACCGTAGTGCAGTTTTCTAGATAATGTAAATTCCATATGACGGTGTAGTGCCATATTATTATTTGCTCGATTAAACGAAAATTGATTTTATTAACGTTGACGGTGTAACGGTGCAGATTATATTTTAATATATTTATATACTGACGTTATAAAATTAACGATATAAATGATAAACATGTGTGTAGTTTTGTATGCGATTTGTATTTTAATTTGATATAATAAATTACCACGGTAATTATATGTTCCACTTTATATTACGAAAACCGGGTGCACTTACGAGTGAAGTGCAATATCACCGACCGCGTGCAGTGTTAAATATTATGTTGCTATTTAAGTCGGTCGGAAAACGCTATTATATTCTCGTACACACGCCACCGCGGATTAAACGCATTATTTAGATTTCTATCGATTTTACGTGCCTACCCACCTCGAAATTCATCTCGATTCTATCCGATTCCGCCGGACAATATTAAGGCGCTTCCCGCCTATAACTCCTCCTACCTCGTTTATATCCGTGTGAGGTTTTCGATTTAATTTATCACGGAAATCTTTGATTGTATACATACGTATATCTAGTATCGTATATTTGTCGAATGCAACGCAGATATAGATACTATTTATGCGCATAAGATCGATTGTTTTTTTTTTTTTTTATTATTATTATTTTCAATTTTTTATAGCGGTGCATCCGACCTATAATATTTTTGCATGATGGCTACCTGCAGCTATATAATTATACGATCGTTATCTTGTATACCGATACACGGTATCCGCGATGAAATACGACCGCGTGTCAATTTAAACTCGTACGGTAATAATTATTATTGTTATTTTTCGACACGTTTTATAATATATTACGGCGAAAAAACAACAACGATTTAATATATTATCCACTCGCATAATATTATAATATTTCGGTTTCGCAGCAAACATAATACGTCCGTATCCGGTTAATAATACATTTAAATAGAATAATCGCAAAAAATATTACGAGTATTTAATAACTGCCGTGATAATGGTTTAAAAAAGAAAAAATCGATTTCTATTTCCATACAGGTGTGTTTGTTTGTTTACGAATACGCGCGATGATGGGTTTACCGCGATTTAATCAGCTCGAACGGTTAAATACATTAATCTAATATTATACGGATGATGATTGTTTTTTTTTTTTTTTTTATAAAAAAACTATGTATACGGACACGCCTTTAGTCTGGCAGAAAAAAAAAACCAAATCGTATTATTCTTCGAGCTTATATTATTATATACCCGTTGTTGCAGCATCGGCTCCACGAGAAAAAAAAAATAAATAACAATTGTGTACACACTTTGTTATTTGAATATTATTACAAACAGACTTCGCCGGGTACGTGCATATTAGTTTGGCACAATTCGTTGATAGTATAAAAAAAAAATTAAGCGTATTCGGCGGCGGCGGTGGGTAGCGATTAAACTGGGCTAATAACTCGTAGGTATATAAACTGTTGGCGGGTTGACATTAAATCCGACCGGAGAAAAAAATACAAATTATAAAAAGAAATAAGGCAGGCGAGCCGTATAGGTATATTATGTGTAGCAGCAGCTTTATATAAATTGAAGAAGAAGAAGAAAAATCCATTTTTAAATTACGGCGAATTAAACGGGTTTCACACGTGTGTCGGCAAGCCTTTTACAATATAATAATATTATATTAGGGGACACCCCGCCGTGACAGGTTCTTGTGAAGCTGCCGATGTCCGTATAAAAAAAAAAAAAAATTATAAACATCACCGTGCGTGCGCGTTTACCGAAAAAAAAAACTATAGATTCGTTCGATTTTCATTATAATATTACTTCATTTTTTTTTTTTTTAGTAAAATTATTAGACCGTTATTACAGACTACTACTATACCTACGTACGAAGACTCGAGTCCCGATGTAATACACTAGTATTACAAAAACCGTATTTAAAATATACGGTAGGTAGGTTTATACAGAGTGATTATATTTTATCAAGAGGATTTCTATGGTTTTTCTTGTGGTCATTATCGAATCGTTTAGGCTCTGTTTAACACTATTTTCAATTTTTATCCTTCTATTCCTCCATAGTTTAAATCAATGTTATCTTAACATTTCAACACAGATCTGAAAAGTGAACAATCGTAAGACGATTGAACTGCGACGCTTCCGTTTACAGAAAATAATCGATTACCGTAAGTATATACGGAATAGGGGTGAAAATAACGTTTAGACAAATCCACAGAATGCAGTTCGGTAAACAGAAAACGGACGATAACGGGTAAAAAATTCCTTAAAAAACCTCTCGGACCGTGAAAAAAGCATCGCCCTGTATATATGTGGTAGTCGTATAATAATATAACACAATATATAGTAGCTGTGACCGGTATCCTAAATACGGTCGTAAACGCCCGTGTTCGACCACCCCGCCGTGGCCGTGGTCTTCGAGGTGATAAACTGCGCGTTTTTCCCCCTGTCTTTCTCTCCCGAAAAAGTGTTAACCCAAAACCCACCCGCGTGCGCTAGTAGCGAAAACCCTCTTGGTGGTCGCCGCCCGCAAGAGACGATATTCTCACGCGCGCACATCACGGACACGCCTTTTCTATTCATTATTATTCAATTTCGTCGTATATACGAGTTTTATACACGGTACATACGATATTTTCTTCGCCCTTTTTTCTCTCTCTTTTTTTTTTTTTTTTTGCGGTCAAACGCTATGTGATTTTCAACAATGGTTTTATGTTCCGCACGTCTAATATATTATAACCGCGACAATATCCTTTCGACAATTTATATAACGGTTTCGTTCGCGCGGTAGCGATCCTTGTACTTGGCGGGCAACAAGTAGCCGGAATCGATACACGGTATTATATTGAGACGTTTTGTATTATACGTTTGACTACGAGTGTATGTACGGTCGGCGGGTATGGGCATTTACGGTAGTTTTTTTTCCCCTTTTAAAACCCGTTATTTATACACGCATCGCACTATCACAGTTACAAAGATGTTCACACGTACTCACTCGGGGTTTTTGTGGGCGGTGGATTTAAATGGGTATAGTATCGTCATGTATACAACATTGTGTATTTTTGTCTGTATAATAATGTGCGCGCATAGAGTACTCGTATAATATGTCCAAAGACTTACCCAAAATCCCATCGATGGAATGGTTCTTGAGTTCGTCCCGTCTGCCGCCGCGCAACAGTCGGCTAATGGAGCTGATCGAAGGAGCCGAGTTCTTATCGCAAATGCCGTCCTGCTGATTTAATTACAAACGGAAAAAATTAACATTATTTTTCATAATACGCATGTTCACAAAAACTTAAACGCTATATTATAAACTAATATACTATTGTACTGGGTGTCCCGCCCGGCGTTACCCGGGTCAGAAGAAATACAACCCAACAATACACCCTTACGTTTCTATGGTGATATATTATGTTTTTCGTTGTCCCCGAGACAACTATTACGGTCTTATTACATGAAATACCTTATTATTTATTTGTTTTGATTTTAATTTTTAATCGCATCCATATCTCCAAGGTAACCAGAATTCAGAAAAATAATTCGATTTTCGTACCAAAAATAACAATAACTCAGTGTTAATCCATTTTTAGGGATTGTATTCGGAAGGGGAGAAGAAAGGTAACATACATGTTATTATCCAGGTCTAGACACACCTGTGCAACCTGTTTCAACTCAATCTGTTCAATAGTTTTTACATGAATAATTAAATCCATATGTACATTAAAATAAACGTTCACATTTATAATTTGAATGATGATTAATAAAAGATTTTTCATGATATTTAAATACTCGTAAACATATCTTTGGTCCTAGGGAATAATGGGCTTAAGTAATTTTTTTTTTATATAATTGTTTCTTTCGTTCACTTTTTATTTTTAATCTAAACGGCATAAATTTTTGTGCATTTATATACAGCACGTGTTTTACTGAAAATTAAAGCATCTATTTTAAGCCATTTTAATGTAGGTTATTTTCGTCTTACAAAAATCCATACAATATAAACTTAAGCCATTTAGAAATTTAACAGTTTTATAAATTTAAATTGTTTGAAAACTGTATAAAGTTGACTTTAAGCCCTTTTTCTCTGGGACCAAAGATTTAAGACACAATACCTGATAGATATTATTTATTGCGTGGAATTAATAACGATTAATTTATAATATTGAACGGGTCCTTACATCAATTGCATTCACTTTCTCCGATCTCTGTCTCACAAAAGCATTTCAAAAGCACTTCCGTGATTGCGATTTACTGGTTGAGGAATTTAAGGTAATGGAACTAGTTATTTTATATTTTATATATATATATATATATATAAACGAGCGTTATAAGGCACTATGCCTTGATCGAATTAAATTTTTTATAATTTTATTTTTAATAAGTTATTAATGGTTAAAATATTAAGAAATATTAAGTTAAATTAAAACACGCATAATATCTTTATTGACCGAAAATCCTCAACCGCAAATTATTGTTTAAACAATTATTATTTTTATTTAAATAATTTTAATTTGTATCATTACTGTACATGACCAGGTACATTACTTATATATTATAAAACGTTTTATTCTTGTATTTTCGAAAATACCCTTATTTGAAACAATAAAAGCATAAGGATAATTTGTAAAGAGTAGATACCGTTTACTATTATATGACACCGGTTGTAGTAACATATCGGGTGTAATGACCTCAAATGGAAGATCCCGGCAAAACTCGTATTGTGTATCGTATCGATTATTATGACCTGTGTATGGATGTACGTCGGATGTTATGACGGTTATTTTTGGTTCTATTGGAAAAATCTATTATCGACAACCGGTAAGCATGATTAATTTTAACTAGTCTCTTGAATATCATAAGAGATTTCTACTGGATATAATTATAGTAGGTTATATTTACATCCTAACTGTGATAAATTAAAAAACTCTTTGTTATATTATATATATATATATAACTATAGTAAATGTAAGAATATATATATATATATATATATTTGTCTATTACTGAAAAATGTCTATCATTAGGTCAAGTCTTAAAAACGAAATAATATTAAACAATATAGGTATATATATAAATATTTTTAATTTGCATTAAAATTGGCTAAATTATGTTAAATTATAACTTTTCGGTTAAATGAATTTGACAATATTATTATAAAACATCATTGATTATGGACGTTTTTTTCTGCTTTTTCTACCATTAAACATGTCTATATATATATATAGATATTTTCATTTTGTTGAGATATACTATTCATATAGATGCATAGGTTTGCGAAATTAATATTATATTACGACAAATACCTATACTATCAAAACCGTGCCACAGTTTATACAATGATATGCTTTTTTTTTTTTTTTAAAAGAAAAAACTTACTAATATACATATTTGTTATTATATATAAAACAAACAATATACCGAGTGAAAGTTAGTTAAAGTTAATCCTATTATATAGGTATTAGCGCGCCGTGAATAGATTTTAATTGGTAAATGTATAGTACCTATACAAACTGTATATGCTAAAAAAACCGCAACATTTAATTAATTATTTGTCCTAATACTCAATAGACATAGATATAGGTACCTACCATAGTAAATTTACACCGATATTATTATTTTTTTTTTTATAATTAATTATAATTGATTTGTTGGATTCCAAAAAAAAAAAAAAAAATGCATGTACTATTTATATTTTGTTTAACTGTTGAAAAAGCTCAATTTATATATACTTTGATAAATAGAATATTATACCTAACCTAACCTAACATAACCGAAAAATATCGTATCGTTTTGCCGATGCAGTATAGTTCTAATAGTTTTACATAATTAGATGCGTATTATAACGAATTGCTCTATAGGTATCACAACTGCAGCACAACAACATGAACATTTTACCATAATGTATGGCCGCGGACAAATCATGTAGTTGACGTTCATTTATATACGAATTAATATTTATAATATGTTCGAATAAATTATAATTTATAATATTCCATACGCGAAATTATTCCCTATAATATATAATAATAATATTTCATTTGTATAGTGTATATATATACACTATTTGTGCTGGTGAATGTGTAAATATTATCGTCGAGTTGACATCGTTGTGACGCTGGAGACTTTAACGATTGTCACTATGTAAATTATTGTTGCACGAAAATATTATAAATTTGTCAACTCGATTTCGTAACAGTTGAAACGGGTAAAAAAAAAATCGATAAACGCGAAAGCGTGTGCGTGTAAAACAATATTTTGGACCTATATAATGTGATAGTATATAAATTTAAACGCACCTTTACGAGTTTGTCGCGGATTTCCCAACTGAACATTGCGGGATTGGCCTTTTTGTATTCTTCGATACGTCGCTCCACGTCTGGCGTAGCCACCCTGGGTTTACTGCCACCGATCACGCCGGGTCTGATGCTCCCAGTCTCCTGGTACCGGTTCAAGATTTTCGAAACGCACCCGTGTGACACCCTAAGCTGTCGGGAAATAACACAAGGCCGGACTCCGGCCGCGGCCATTTCCACGATTTTCAGTCTGATGTGGTTGGGCAGCGGACGACCGTTGATGAACACACCACCCAATTGATTCATTCTACCCTGACCTATGCATAACGCAAATTTTTAAAACGATGAAATATATATAAACGTGAAATACAATCGCCGCCGACCGAGTTCTATTATAATAATATATTGGGTGTATAATATATAATTATATACCTAATTATTATAGTATTATAATACTGCAGCAACGACCCAAAAAAAGATTATGGTCAAGTACTTAAAATATATAATATTTTGTTTTGTTTTTTCGTTTACCTTGAAACGGGTATCCGGTAAAGTACGGAGTCATGTTCAACGCGGACACCGACATCGTTCGGTTGTACAGAAGACGCGATGTAAACGAAAAATGTTTTGCCGAAAAAAAAATAACCGTTCGTAAACGAATACTATGTGTAAAAAAAAAAAAAAAACGCTACAAATTCTCTCGCTTATAATTAAATAATATTAATATTAATATTATTATTATTATTCTCATTCACAGCGGCGTCGAACGAAACTCGCACGATGACCACCAAACGTACACTACCGTCGGAAATCGGACACTGCTCCGTCACTGTCGTCGTCGGCCTCGCCGCAGTAGTCTCGCGCGCGCCGACCCCGCCCGCCGTCCGAGGGACACGGAAACCGGTCGTCCTGACCGTCGTCATTGGTCCGCGGCCTCCGTACTGGGCGTTGACGATTTTTTTTCTTCTCTATTTTTCCTTTACCACTACGCGTGCGATTCCTATTATTATTATTATAGAACCGTCTGCAGCATCGAAAACGATACAGCGGTGACGAGAGAGAGAGAGAGAGAGAGAGGGTGACGGAGGAAGAGATCGAGATCGTTTTGTACAATATAATATAATATATAATAACAATAACAATAATATTATTATGTGTATATTATATTTTATAACAGATATTCGCGAGGAATAGCACACAATAATAAAACGCGGTCCCTCAATCTGTTATATTGTACATTATATAAAAAGAACACCCGGAAAACCATGCGCACGCCACCGGCCACCCGTACTTACTTATGGCCCACTGCAAGTATACTGTATACGAATCGTTAAATACAGAAAGGGCACGTGTTCAAATTTTAAATTTGTCCAAGAACTGGACAAAATGAAATAACTATGAAATATTATAAAACTCTCGGTGTTTCGGGAGCTTTTTTGTCTTCCTTGAACAATTTTAAAATTTAAACACGATGGCCTCTCTGTTTTTAACGATTCCCAAAAGGATATTACGAAAACGAAACATTACTTATACATTATATATTTACGGACAAAATACAAACAATTCCGGGTAATGTCGTAAAACCGATCGTTTTAAGAAGACCCGCTTCTATACTGTCTCAGCATATAATACAATATTTTAGAATTTACACTTGCTCAGCTGATATTTACCAATATGATCCGAAATTAAGTTCTAGATAATGTAATTTTCCCGTGTTGTCTGTTATATAGTTAAACTACTGATACAGTAAATGGGGTTGTGGCGTCCTCACGTCCTCTTAATATAATTAATAATTATATACTCTAGTTTCATCCATATAAATTGACGGGGAGCATATAGGACGGGATAGAATTACCGACCCGCAAAAAGTGAATTAGATCCAATTATAATAATACAAAAATTAATACTTTTAACGGTATAACGGTCAACGGTGTAATCTACCGAAAAATTCGTATTTTACCGTATCATAACCTAGATAATTCTGTTATGGTTCAACATGTTAAGTTTTTTTACTTATACGAATCCGCCCCCACCCACCGAAATTGTTTTCTGTATACTTGCATGATATATATAATATATAAATATATTACCTGGTTAAAAATGTTATAAAAAATTATTAAAAATGTATATTAAACACATTAAATATTATATTTAAAAAAAAAAAGTTTTTTATAAATAAGAAATTTATCAAATAGTTCTTTTTTCGAGGGGTGACAGTATGGACTATTTGAATTCCCGCAGCTGCCGTTTTAGGATTGAGAGGCTCCATTTGACTTTATTTTATACAGCCGTTTCCGCATAGTAATAATTCGGTATGATTGTATTTACTGCTTGGATGGATAAATCCGTCACCGTTATAAAAGATAACTGATGTATGCCCGTACTACTGAGGATCACTCTGAATGACCAGTACAGTTCGACGAATATTTGAATGATATAATCAAATGTGTCTTTCTCGTCCATTTTTTCAACAATGAAAAAAAAAATATTTTGTCGATACAGTTTTTCGTCTTGATTTCGACCTAATTGATATTATTCACAGGTCTTAGAAATCTATGTATTACATATTCGATAGATAGATCATAAGGAACGATCGCTGTATTTATTTTTTTTGAAAATCATATTTTGAATAAAATATTGTACAGAGATACTCTGTGAACATTTTTGTGGACGATACGAGTTATACTTAACAAGACTCACGATGTAGATCGCGATCTTTTATACACCTTTATTATCGTTTGAAACCCAAGAATATATCGTCCAATATATAAAAAGTATATATATAGACGTACTTCATTCAGAAAATAAAAACCGTGAAATATACTATATCACATTAAATTATACCTACGCTAATGACACGGAACAAATTGTTTTTCTTTTTATCCGATAGCATATAATAATTGTATTATGTATGGCATCAGATTACTATTAGCGCAGGTCATTTATCACGAGCGTATAATAACAAGGCACAATGAAATCATCAAAACCGTATAAATATAACTGGCATATACGATACACTCGTAATAGTAGTACCTACTTGTTTGTATTTTATATAAAATAGAGTGGAAATTATAACTGTCATCATAAAAAAAAAAAACAGCAGTGTTACATATCACCCTTGGTCTCGGGAAAGAATGGCTAGAGTCAATTTTGTACAGTTTTCAATACAAACTAATTAAATTTTAAAAATTACTATTAAGTGACGTGTAATACCGTAATTGCAAAATGATTTTAATCATCTTAATCATAAGACTTATGTCTTTTTTTTTTTTTTTTTTAAATATAAAATACATTACAGTAGCATAAGATATTTTAATTTTCGGTATAACATTTGTTAAATTACAATCACTTACGTGATTTAGACCGAAAAAATGTTAAAAATTAACTTAAGCTCAAATTTTTTGGGACCAAAATAATGTATTATTATACACGTTATAGAGTGTTTTGCGAAATTTTCTCTGTCCAGTGATTATATATTTTTGGAAGTGCTATATAGGAAATACGTCTTATTATAAAAACGTATGCACAATAGTATTGGGATGATTTTAAATTTTCGACATTATAGTTGATTTTGCATTGATTTTGATAACATTTATTTTGTTTTGAATAATTTAAATCTAGACTAACTATATACATTTTAAAAGTCGAATAGTTGTTGTAATATCAATATTATTCGAGACTCTGACACAAATTACCAGATAATTCGCAATTTTTTTCAAATTAAAATTTTTCTTGACATTTTGATATTATGTGTGTACCTATATACTATATTATACTATATTACTGCATGTATACATGTATACTATATAAACATAGCTAATAGTATAGCCAAACAATTTTGTCGTACAGTCATATTATCGGGTTCTTCAAAACGTATAAAATGAAATAAAAAAATTATATTAAATATATATTGCTATGGATTTTGAACAATCTATAATTATATTGTTGCGACATCTTTTAATCAAAGCTTTAACAATTTATATTATCACCTGTAGTGGGTTTTTTTTTTATTAGAATTTCGATTTGTATTCTATCGTAAAATAATATAATATACGTTATGTGTACATTATACATTATATAAACACCAAAGGCGGTAATTCGATAATTTCGCCATAATAATATTATTGTTAACGCAATGGCAAAACCTTAGCGGATATGATTACATCATAGTATAATATTGTGGCAGCATTGACAATTTAATATGATGAGCTCATCACCGGTCGATTGTTTTAGTCATCGGAAATATTTAATTAATGACAAATTAATTTGTTGATTTATAATGAGCGTTTAAATCCCATATAAGGAGTTGAGGCAAACCGATATACTGAAGTTATAATTTTTTTTTTACTAGTATAGAGTTATGCGTCCTTTTGGTATTGGTCGTGTTTTTCCTAAACCGGGGTAACCCAAAAATCAACAAAAATAAAAACATTTAACATGCTCTAAAGAAACGCACTTGATATCTAACAATATACATTTACATAGTGCGTTTAATGTTTTGACAATAAACATAATATATAACCTAAGATCAATTGAAATTTGTTTATATTTACGTGTATCAAATATTATAAAATGTTTTTGTTTTTTCTCTTTCTTGTTTGTATTATGTGTATACAATCGCATAATATATATTAAAGCTGTAATAGCCCTGTTCTCTAGTTAGGGTCCTGGCCCCAGTCTCCGCACAATAGATAATTTACAAAAATTAGATTAAATAAATAAATTTGCTGTCATTTTTTTGTTTTTTTTTTTTTTTTGATTTTAATTAAATAATGGGAATATGGAAAAAAAACATTTCAAATAATGTACCACCGGGTGAAAGTTCATTTAATAAACAATGTGAATATTTTGGGATATTTTTATTAGCCGAAAAAGTGTTTTCCATAAAAATAAGCACACTTCTAACTAATAGCTTCTTAGCTATAAACTCAGGATCTAAAAATAATAATAATAAAATTCACTCCACTATATAGCCATAATTTTAACGTTTCGTCTTAGAAAACGTGCAGTTGATACTTTCTCGTAGATACTTTCCATTCGGATAAATACTATTGCATACGACGGTGGTGACGGTCATGAAAGTTTCATACATTCGATTTTCCGTTACAAAATATTCTATATAAAACCAATTGAAAAAGTTTTCATTTTTCGTAAAACGTAATATTACTATTATAGTAAATTAAAGATTTTGTGATTTTTTTTCCCGCCAAAATATTCTGATTATTAATAAGACGCCACAACATTCTCATATTTACTGTATCTGCACTTCAACCAATGGACAACATAGCAAAATTACGTTACTTAGAACGAAAGTTGTGATGTTACGTTGCAATTAAAGTATAAACACAAATAACAAAAAGATGGACATACTTCGTACGTGGGTGGACCATTGTTGTAGGTGAGAATTTTGGAAGGTAGAGGGGAAATATAATGTATATCTATACTCAAAGATTAATCATTGCTAACGAAAACGATTCTGAGCGGAGTTCAGTTAATAGTGTTGCTTTGTTTACAATATCTATGTCATATTATGGTAAAATTATTACATATTGTGCATTATATATTTTCTTTTAATAATATTTGATTATTATTGTATCGCTTAATCGGTTTTTACAACTGTATATACAGTGCTTGAATTAAGGGGGATCACGGGGGACGAAGTACCACTTCTTTTCTTAATATATTTTAGCATATCATTTATAATTTTTTTTAATGATCCTAATTAGGTTGAATTTAATTATTACAAGGGACATTACTTTTTTTAAGCCTGATATTACAACCCCTGATTTATTTTTCCAATTCAA